CATGTGATTTGAAATCATTAGTTCGAAAGGAGGTATTTATACGACGGTTCAGCTAATTCTACGTACTAAAAGTCATAATTGAAAGTTATCAATAGGGCTGTTATTGGCACCACAATCCGAAATAATAAAATAAATAATTATTATTTTTATCTTATTCTAAATATTTTTAATTGCTGCACCTGATTCAAGAAAGAGTAGTACTTACACGAAACATTTCTGCACCTCCATATGAAAAAAATATCATTCATTACCACTATATCATTCAAACCAATTCATATTGTGCGTAACATTTGGATTTGTACGCATCCGAAGAAAATCAAGTTACAAAGTTTTCACATTACAAGTATGTAAAGTTGAATTTGACAATTTTTAAGTCACAATGTTACCTTTCTCCATCTTTTACTATTTTACCTTGCCATCTTTCAGATAATTTACCCTCGAAGGAAATATATTCTTTTTGTTGCCATTAAAAATTCTAAGGAAATTTACCGAGTTTTGTGTTTGAGTTACACAGTTCCATGGCCCAATATTTTGTATGATGTACAGTAGTTTTTGTTTACAATGCTGTGTATACGACAGAGTGGTGAAAGTTGGCCATTTCAAGCATTCTCAAGCAAAGCCTGCTCCTTCGAGGGCATTGATTTGTATTTTAATGACTGAAAAAGACCATCAAATTTTGAAAGAAAGTTAGCAGAATGCAATAGAGTGCTTTTGGATTTCAATAAACGTTCGAATCTAACAGCTTTTTGTGGTGGCATCAACGAAAGTCAGTATTGTGCAATCGATCCACAAGGACTAAGGGATAGCTGTCAAGGAGAGAGCGGTGGACCTCTACAAATCTTTGCCGATCCAAATTCAAGCATTGCTACTATAGTGGGAATTGTGTCGTTTGGTATTGGCTGTGGATCCAGTTCGTTGCCAGGAATTTACACGAGAGTTGCATACTAGTTGGATTGGATGGAAGGAATTATATGGCCAAATCAAACCTCAATTTATCAAAATAGTGTAACAAAATTAGAAGATATTTATCTGAAAATTATCAATGATAAATCAGTCAAAAACTTTTTTAGAATTTACTACTACTATTTCGAATGAACTTTATCAAATCAAATTTAAAAAATCTTGCTAAAAATCAATAAATATTTGTATATATAACCAAAGAACATAAGATTTGAAAAATTCCAACGGGGTCACTCTACGGATCAAAAAGTTCAAAAAAAAAAAAGTAATTTCACGGAAATTCTTGGGTGTATTAAAACGATCACATTAAAGTTTTTCTTGATATTTTCTCTTCGGAGCATGCCATTGCAATTGCACAAAAATTCGATGGTTTCAGCAAGCTTGAAGTATTCGACAAAGCTGATCAGATGAAATTGACATGGACAAACATAGCGGACTCGCAATGTGCGATCACTGATACCACTACAGACCAAACTACTACTACTAACTGAGAAAAATGGACAAAAGAACAGGATGAGCCACGCCCCTATCGGTGGAATATTTGCAGATAATATATTGAACTAACTGGTCAGTTGAGCTGACAGTACGTTAGCCAGCTAAATGGACTAAAACAATAGAAGTTATTGTTATAATGAACAATCACTTGACTTGTTTTAATAGAAGTGATTGTTCATTATAACAATAACTTCTATTGTTTTAGTCCATTTAACTGGCTAACGTGCTGTCAGCTCAACTGACCAGTTAGTTCAATGTATTGTCTGAATATTTGTGAAAAGTAAAACTTTCGATAAGATTATACGATCAATATGGTGTGATAAGAGATTAAGTAACTCAATTTTTGATAGCAATTGCGACCTTTGTAAATGAAATAATTGTTTCGTGTAAATATTGAAGATACGACCTAAGGAAATCGAATAAAACAATTGGTGTATGATGTTATTGTTTGTATCTTAAATCTCATGAGTTTTTATCAGATTCTGATATTACAAAAAAATTACAAAAGGATTGTTAAATTAACATTCAAAGATGTTTGCATTGAAAAGCCCTTGCACCGAAATTAATGGTGCCATTAAAAAAAAGATTTGTTCGAAAAAATAATAAATAACCATTACAAGTGTTATGGCCCAAAATTACATATGATTTTGTATTACAATTTTGAATTGAAGGTTTATCAGTTCGTCATTCAATTATGATATAATTCGTCGCTGACATCAATACACTTGACCTGAGTTTGCTAGGTAATAACAAATGAACTTTAACTGGCCCTACAATAAAACTAAACACACAAGAAGAAACACTTTGAGGATTATCTATGAATCACGAATTGAATTGACTGTGTGAAGCAATTATGTTGAAATAAGTGATGAAATCATTCTAAAAAAAGGGACGATGTACAATTTAATTAGTAATATGAAAACTTGACGTTTTGAATTAAATTTTATCTGAACATGACTCATTACCCGTATAAGTAGTAGAAGAATGACAGTAGATACACGGCCAATTTGATCCATCCTTCTCGTTGACCTGAATCGAAAAAATGCATTATCAACACAAATTACATGTGCAGTCGAAAAAAAAGGTCACTTACATTTTGACAGAGTGTCGGCATTCATAATGGACGTTGGATCGTACAAACCGGGGCCACTCATTACTGGTCGATTCTTGTATCTGAAATGAATCCCATTTGCATGTGTGAAAATGTCAAAATGTAAACAAGCTGTTGTATATATTGCATTACCTGAACACATGGTATGCGATAAGTGGGATATTGAGCAATAATGAAAACCATTCACCAGCGAACAAAAATAAAACGTTGAAAAACAGATGCAACAAATATTCCGGAATTACCAGCTACAAACAAAGAACGAAAAAATCATTAAATTTACATTTTTTGCCTTTTTCTCTCAAATTTATGCACATTTATTTGTGAACAAATCGATTCTATATATCTATTATCGTTATATTTGTAGAGAAAAAAAATCGAAGTTGACTAAGGTATACACGCTTCTGTGCGAAAAAAACACTTACCGGATTCAGGCTGTTGCATTGATCGATTGGATTTTTGTAATCGGTTTTCAATTCATCAAATGCAATCACGTGAAATATCGAAAAAAAGATCAAAAATGCGTCCGATATTAACGCCACAATATAGGTAACTGCTGGAAAATTGAACGCCATTCTAAATATCTATGCGCAATGAATTTGCTCGGCGATTCGTTATAGTTCAATTTAAATGTGGCTTTTAATTTTTCTGTTTTCACTAATTGGGAGAATGAAGTCAATATTTGGAATACTAATTTACTGCGTATAGGGACCGCTGTGACAAACTCAATGACATTCCATAGTAGCGCGAAGACATAGACACCAAAAAAAGTCGTTTGTTGTATTCATTTGACAGATGCTTGAACATGACACTGTGCATGTGTGCGTGTATGGTGCATATGTCACTTTTGTTTATCAACGGACTTTCGTAGTCATTTTTTACGTAGTCGATTCGAAATCGTAATCTTAAAAAAAGTATATAATACAGAAATTACCACACAATGGATTTTATTTATTTGTATAATAAATATAAATAGAAATAAATTAGCTGAAAATTGTATATAATACTGGGAAGGAGATTGCTTTTCCTTCTTTCTTAATATGGATGAAGTCTTTGAGTATGTGTGTGATGCATCATGCTGATTGTTCCTTGGTGATGTGTATGGCTAAGCATAAGATGACCGGGTGGTGCATGAGGTGGACCTAATCCGAATGAACCGCCGATATGCGCCGATGGCATTGCTGATGTTGCAATCGGTGCAGCTATCGGTGTGGATGTTGGCATCATTGGCGTTGGCATAGCGGATACAGAATTTGTATGAACACGATAATGTGTGCTTAAGCTCAAAGCCGTTGCAAATACTTTATGACACTCCCTACATTTGTACACTTCATGAGCTGCTCTATCGTTCATTAAATGCAATTTCTTTTTATGCGCCACCATGTCACGATTTCGGGTAAATGACTTTCCACAAATGTCGCAGTGATGATTTTTGATTCCCGTGTGGGTTTGCATGTGACGAGATAAGTCTCCGGCCCTAAAAAGACAATAAATTTAATCTTATTTATTGAGTTCGATGTGAATGGATGTCATCTTTGAAGGGAAAAATAGTATGTCGATGAATTGCAATACTCGTTCACTCATCGAAGCATGGCATTCGATGCGTTTGGTGTGTGTTGGAGGCTCCAACTTGGAGCAAGTGGTGCAAATCATCATTAAAAATATTTCATTCCGTTCAGTGATTTCACTCTATTTACCCTAAAAAGCCCTTTGAGCAAACTGGGCAGATGTGATCCCGAATGCCGGTGTGAATCTTTTTGTGCGCTTGAAAATTGCCCAATGCTGCGAATTGTTTACTGCAAATCTCACACTGTAATGGTTTCTCTCCAGTGTGGGTTCTGATATGTATTTCAAGATTGTGTTTTTGAGCAAAACGCCTTGTACACGTATTGTATGGACAGATATACGGCTTTTCCCCGGTATGAGTCCTAAATTGAATTTTTTTTATTATTTTCTCACTACATTTTTCCAAAAATTGTCAAAGAAAAAACTTACCTAATGTGAATGGTCAATTGAGCTGCACTCTTAAAAGTCTTATGGCAATCATAGCAAGTTTGGGGCACTTTAACTTGCGGCTTTGGACCTCTTTTCTTCTTCTCTTCTGGTAACTTCTTTTTATAGCGATTTCGATAGCTTTTTGAGGACTTTGTCTTATCTCCAATTCCATCGATGGCACCTTTGAAATAAGGATCTGGATCTGTATTTGTTTCATTGTCTCTCGTATCGCCATATCCTTTGTCAAGTATGCCCAAATATGATCGGAGTCGAAAATCAGAATTTTCACATTGCTGTTTGAAGTGATACGCAGCTCCGAGTCTGTATATACAGTTGTTACAAATCACTGGTGGCAAACCATCGTTTTTGTACACCTGAAATTTACAAATCGTTCCGTTTTACTTTACTTCGAATCGAAGTAGATCCAAAAGTAAAAAATTGAAGAAAATGATCAAATTACCTTGACTTTGGCACAGAGCATCAACATTTCGGCGGGCACCATCGCAAATTCTGTATTGAAAATTGATGTCAATACATTTTCCTCTAAACACACCCGACAGATTTTGTTTATGTTTATGTTATAGTCCATATTTTCATTATTACACGATGTATCCCGACAAGAGAAGATTTAAAAAATTTGCATAAAGATTTGTCAAGAAGAATCTTTTCTAACGATAATAGAAAAATGTTTTATTCATAAATTCACATAGCATCTTATTGGGAAAATGCATAGAGTCTGTATGACAGCACAAAGACACCTTTTCCGATGTAAACACTGTGTTCGTATTTTGACGTCTTTGTCTCTACGTAATACGTAAATGTCAAAATATAAAACACGAAATATTTGTGTTATCCATAATATAAACACAGATAAGCCTGAAGAAAGTTTGCTCATCGAAAATAAAATTGTTAAATTAGTCATGACGGAGGATATCAAGAAGTATTTCAATGGACTCATTCAAAAGTAAGTTACCACCAAATGCAAAGATTTTCGTTTTTTTTTTTTTTGGAAAAAATAAAATGAAAATGTGCTAATTTAATGTGACGATTCATATAGGGTGAGTGGCATAATGTGCATCATTGTGACGGATCGTGATGGTACACCAGTTATCAGTGCAAAAGCCGACGATGCAGCCCTTGAAATCGGCCTTGCAACGAAGCCAACATTTTTAGCAACCTACACAATGGCCACCGATCAAGCTGGAAAATTGGGCTTGGGGAAGAATCAATCCATCGTCTGCATGTACTCGAATTACCAAGTGAGCTATCAATCGTTTGTTTGTCTAAATAAAGACCAGTTTTTGTCTGGCGACAAAGTGACTTTATTTGTGAAACAAATTTTCTATTTTATCGCTTTCAGATTATCCAAATGAATAAGCTGCCATTGATAGTGACGTTTATCGGAAGCGAAGACTGTAATACGGGTCATATTTTGGCATTGAGCGATCAAATCGATAATTATTTAGATGAGATAAAGCAAACCGTCATCGAAGCATAGCGATTGTCTTCAGTGTGCAGCAGTGATTGTTGATGACTGAGCGACATTGTTATCATACTCCATTAAATATAATTATTATAAGATTTGCAAAGCGCATTTGATAAGAGCGAAACCAAATTCACAATTCTACCCTTTTTTTTGTATAATCACGATTGGTCGCCTTTTTTTCACCATTGAATAAAGACAAATTACAAAGTCATGTTCATTTGAAAAACGATAAATGAAATCGTATATTTAGATTGATGTTTAACTTGTGCAGTATTAATAAGCCATCGTTGACGAACGGAAAAATAAAAAATAATTGGTGACCTTTTTGGTGTGAAAGGAATTTTACAGCCATTATTCTTAGGTTATCAGCAAAACAGCCAAAATGCGAAAGTCCAATAAATGCAATAAATTCGCTATCAGCAGCGACAGAAAAAAAGAAGTCAAATGATTGATGGAATGCAATGCAATCATATACAAGACAATCTGGCCCAATAACGTATGGCAATACGTACGTAATAATGAAGAACATTGTTGGCTTACGATAATTTTGACAGTTCAGTGTGCCAGTTCCGTATAAAAGCAACACATCGCTGCTGTGTGTTACGAGTACGGTAGGCGAATAACAAAAAAAAATCACAACAACAAATTCAAGATACTACGAACGAACTATGTGTGTGCGTTTGTACGGTGCACCCATACATCTGTGTACGCGGTTCGAAGAAGAAGAAGAAGGAAAAGAGAAAACCAACTCAGTGCTAGATGACGTGACACATACACATAAAACTGACGAAACCTCGCACTAAAGCGATTACTTTGAGGCAGACGAAAAAGCCAAATGAATTATTTTTGGATATTTGTCGGATCAACATCGATTCGCGACAATATCAATTAAAGTGAGTTCAGTGCAATCGATGCGGTTTAAGATAATGCGTATTATTCTTGTTCAATCATCTTAATTCGATTGCGTTACATTGTGGTCACATCTTGCTCTCATTGCGTTCTTGCCTTTTTCGCATTGTGTACTTTTTTTACAACATATTTTTCGGGAGCAACTGCATTTTATCATTGCGTTTTTTATCGGTCCGCAGGTAACAAAAAGCATGATCCGAATGTGAAACCAACGTTGCTTATGCAAATAATAAACGGTACATAAATTGTTTGTGCATTGCTGATAAAAGTGGATGCCGTTGAGTAGTGTAGTTTTGTACTATTCAAATGTATTGTATTATTTTCGGTTGTTATTTAATGTGAATGAGCAAATTTCGTCGAAACTCCAAAGTGAGATTCTATTCACAAACACACATCCAAACAAACGTTATCAATCATTCGATTTATTCGTGGGAATATTTGATTTATCTGCTGCTTAACAATTTCAATATAAATCATACGGCGGCTCATACAGTATTTGCAGTAAGTGAAGTACAAAAAAAAACTTGCATTACGATCGACATCGTCTAGCAGCGAAGTGTTTAACGAACGAACAAAAAAAAATCATACGTGTGAAATCCATATCATACAGTGAATCTATTTGTGAGAATATATCGGTCGGCGGCACAGTCGACAGCGGAACTTAAGCAAATAAATGTGTTTCGTACAATTTCAGTCGTTTAAAGCTATCGGCAACGAATAGTACTCACATATGAGGTTTCTCATACGCGGCGGACTAAGTGCTTGTTAATTATTGAATTAATGTAATTTATTATTGAACACTACATGCAACACTGAATCGAAATTGTGAAACAGTTAAAAAAAACGCCGAATTTTTGTTTATTGATTTCTGAATTTTCTCGTTATTTTTTGCACATTTGGTATAGTGAGGCGTAATGTGTGTCACGCATTCAGTCCATGTGATATGAATTTTGCTTGAATTCATTAATACCAATCGTCTTGGCGTCCAAAACCAGTTTGTTTTGCCATGCGTGCGGAACAAAATCAACAATCGATTCTCATCTCTCTAAATAGTTGAAATACCATCGAACGATAACAAATCGATCAATAGTGCAAACAAATAAAAAAGAAGAAAAAAATTGACTGCATGATTTTTTGCATCGTAGTCTCCAATGAAAATAAAAATTAGCTTTGTGATTGAGGTGTGTAATCGCGAAATAGAAACTCTCTGATACAACGAAAAAAAGATAAATATTTCTTGTTCATGTGTAGTTAATCATTTTGTGCGATTAAAAAGAGGAAGAAAATCTACAGCTAAAGTTGTCAATGTTATATTGGCATAGACAGAAGAAAAAAAACACAAAGACAATCAATAGTTTGAAGTATTTTTGTTTACGATAAATGTGCAGAAAAAGAGAGAGATGATTTGTTTGTTGTGAAAATACTATTATTTATAGTCATTCATCGGGTTGTGTTGAACGTCTAAACGTGATTCAAATCACTGATAATTTTTAAACCAATTTAATATCAAACAAACAAAAACTACACACAAAATGTCAAACACAGAGCATATAAGCGACGGTATACACGAGTCACAATTATTTGGTGACAGTAATAGTGTTTTAAATCATAGAAATACAAATAATGTGTCTAAGAATTCATTTACATCGAATAATCAAAATGGTAAAATTTCATCATCGCCGTCATCGTCGACAACTGCCAATAATAATCATGAAACAACAAATACAAAAAATGTGTTTATGAAACTAAAAACATATCTAGATGCATCGCGACCATGGTCATTGTCAGCGAGTTTGGTGCCAACACTTTTGGGATCGGCACTCGCATATCGATCATCAACACCGCACGAATTCAATCCATTGATATTTATTCTAACCATATTCACAGTGGTAACGGTACATGGGGCTGGCAATGTCGTTAACACATATTATGATTATATTAAGGGCATTGACAATCGAAAATCCGATGATCGCACACTGGTCGATCATATTTTATCAAAAGATGAGGTAAATGAACCGACACAATTGCAAAAATTACGCTTATCGTCGTCTCGTTGCTATCTATAAATAACACTTTGAATCTCAATGTTGTGTCATGCTTACGACCTTTTTTTTTATTGCTAAATCACATTTTCTCTTTCCGCGTTTTTCTTTCAGATGGTGACGTTGGGTGCGATTCTGTACATGGCTGGATGTGTTGGTTTCGTTCTTTTAGTGTATCTAAGCCCGGCAAAATTTGAACATTTGGCATTGGTGTATTTTGGCGGTTTATCATCGAGTTTTCTATACACGGGTGGCATTGGACTGAAATATATCGCTCTCGGTGATATTTTAATTTTAATCATTTTCGGACCGATATCTGTACTATACGCCTACTTTGCTCAAACCGGCGAATTGGTATTGGCAACCATTTACTTTGCCATTCCGCTTGCTCTGAACACCGAAGCCATTCTGCACAGCAACAATACACGGGATGCTGAAACGGATAAAGCGGCCGGCATTGTAACATTGGCCATCATCATCGGACGATCCGCATCGCATGTACTCTACGCCATTTTACTATTTACACCGTATATTATATTTTGTGTTTTGGCCGTAAAATACTATTCATACTGGTTTTTATTGCCGTTGTTTACGTTATCGCATGCCTTCAAAATTGAAAGACAATTCCGATCAGGAACAACGGTTCAATCGGTGCCACATCAAACGGCTAACTTGAATTTATGTTTTGGAATTTTATACGTGGTTGCCTGTTGTTTTGCACCACAATTACCCGGCATCACAACGACACCACACTGAATTTAATAACACAAACAACTCTGTACATGAAATAAACGACAATATTTGCTTAATCGATTTTATTGAATGAGTAAATTAACACAAAAGAATAAAATATTCCCTTTGTACTTGCGCGACAGATAAATATCGTGAAAGAAGATAGTCACCGACAAAAATATAATCGCTTGATTTCTTTCGATTTGGACTTTTTTTTTAATAAGAAGATATATCTTAAAGAAAACTTGGACGAAAAAAAATGATTAAAAAAACGACTTTTTTATTAAATTATTTATATAAAATACGAAGAACCCAGTGTACCAAAATCAATATGTCTTTCAAAAACAAATGAATCTAACCTATATGATAATAAAATGTGCAAGAATTACTTAGTTAAAATAATTATAAAAAAATCTTGTCCTATTTGTTTTGTATCCACACTTTTTTTCATACAGTCATACAACATGAGAGAAAATGTAAATGTCATCGTTGCGACAAATATTCAATAATAAATCACACAATTAATTTAATTAAACGAAAGCAACAAAATTCGCATTGAATTTCGATTTAAATGTGCTTATCTGAACTTAATTTTTATGTATGCAAAATTCTAAAGTCACAAGTCTTTAGTTATTAGGAATATTTACAATAAAATACTCAAACTGTCTGTACTTTTCCTCCCAACTTCATGCTAGAATTTGGAAAGAACAAGGAAATGAGGAAAGATGATTGTTTACATGCAGCGCAGCTTCTGATTGAATAAAAATTTACTTAAAAAACGAAAATTACATTTGCCGCCAGTCACTTTTTTTCATCGAAGTCGAAAAAAAAACAACACATTTGCTGTATATTGCCTTTATAGTTATAGCAATGTCGTTCTACTTCATACATAGAAATTGAATAATGCCCATTGCCACATGTACATCGCAATAAAAGATACGAGTATGAAAAAAAAGGTGTCAACTTAAAAGTCGTTTAATTGTTTCAAAAAATCTTGTCGGCACATGAGGCGAACATTGTTATTATTTACAACATTTTGTCATTTAATTTATATTTAAGTCATGCCCCTTAGTATAAAAGTCTTGATCAAGTCTGCTAATAAAAAAAAATTGTTGAATCATTACAATAGTTTTTGATGAGTTTATTTATGTTTCGAGAGAGTTCCGCTTTATTTACGTCATTTAGAACATTTAAGAATATCTTTTTAAGTAAACGAAATTCACTTGAAGAAAGACATTTAACACATGAATAAACCCAGCTTTTTTGTTTAAAAAATAAACCAAAATCAATAAATCAATTTGTTCAGTTTTCGTTCTATTTTCCTCGAAAAAAATTATATCCCGAAATATTCTCAAAAAATCAAGAGAGAGAAAAAATGACCTTGAATAAATCAGCAAACAAATATGTAGATGAAACATGATAACAAATGGCTTGAAGTGTTTACAAATGATTTCCACAGTGTTTAAGAATAGATCTGGCATTGGCGGCGACGGCGACGGTAGCAACAGTTCTACCGCAATAAAACTTGATGTTTAACAATGCTAATATCCAAAATACATATCTATATTTGACTGGAAATTAGTCATAATCATCATCATGATGTGTTGCTGGCTATAGCAAGCATTTATCAAAGAATCCTTTTCGAGAACTTTTGTTTCTGTTTACAAAGGTTTTATTCCGACCGTCTACAAAAAATATAAAAAAGCAAGTGTGAATTTGATTACAAAAAGAAAATCCGTATAAATATGCTATAATCAACAGCAAATAAGTAATTAAAAAAACACATTTGCTCGAGTTTACTAACCTTTCTAATCAACAATAAAGCATATGGTATTCAATATGACAACTACATACTGATACACTGACGGATGAAATTAAATTTTACGATGAAAAAAATGAGATCAAAATAAACGAAAATTGATGATTTTAAAGGGTACAGCGAGTAGATTTTGTAGAAAGCATACCACAATAGCTTTATATCTATTTTAAATTTGAATATCGAAATCGATAGGACGATTCAATTGCAGCGTTGCTTGTAACTTATTGGCTTGTCATGTCAATAAAATGATGGCGTCCCCGAAAATGTTGATTGATTGAAAAACTGAAATGCATTGTAAATTGTAATGGTGACAATAAACGTCTATCTAAATTTCTGGAATTTATTAGACAGAATAAAAAGTCATGAATTGTTTTTCTCATACTTTTATTTGAACTATTTTTATGTGTTTTTTTTTTTTAATACGAATTCTCCTACAGAGAGATTCTAAAAAAGTATGTAAACATCTAAATTCTTATGTGAATATGACTTTTGTGACATGGTAATGATCTTTCAAAAAAAGAAAACGTGTGCATTATTCATTTGCTCAAAAACACTACACAATAACGACGGCCGTACATGATATATAACCTTTGACTTTGAATTTTATGTTAAGTGTGTGTAACATCATATTGTTGCAGTCATTTTAAAACGTTTACGATCGACTTTACATCTCGGTTTGGTTGGATACGCGACACAGTATTTAAACTGAATGCCGAAAAATATACGAAAACAAGAATACATTCCGAATTTTGTAGAATGAATGAAAATGATAGTATTCCTTGTAGTATTCAATGAAACGAATTTTATAAAAAAAAAGTAGTATTGCTTATCATCAAAGCACTGCGAATATGAATAGCGCCATTATAAAGTTCGTTTCAATTTTTTTTTTAATTTTTTCAATTTTAATTTATGCTACTATTGTTAATAGGATAACATTCTAAGTCAAAATTTTTTTTTGGTGAACACGTGAGTTTTGGATTTATAAAAATTACTACGGAAAATAAAAAAAATAGTGCAGAACAAATGTCAAATATTTTGTGTGCAACGAATACTATCAAACAGTACAAAAATGATTTGATTTTTTTATTGCAAGTTTTCTGTGGTGCCAATGCACGTATCCACAGATAATTTCAATTGAAATGCTATTGATGTGTGTGTGTGTTAATTTTAACTTTTCTTATTTGCTTGCTGATGATTGTTCAACATGTCATTTGATGATGGCACACTTGTTGTGGGAAAGCCCAAAAAATGGTCGGCAATTCTACCAGCTTCACGTAAACCGCTTAAGAAAGCACCATGAACCTGAGAAATTATTGAATAAAAATATTTGTAATTTTTGAAAATTGCTAAATGTTTTTTGAACACTTACAGTCGCTGGATAATTTCGAATTGTGTGTTCGCCGGCAAAGAAAAGGCGTGGCATTTCGTTTGGCTTTTCTTCATCGGGAGTATTTTCATCGTACGGTTTGACTGGAGCGGCTAGCAAGTCGTAATCGCTACCGGATGAGCCAACCGATACAAAACTATATGAACCTCGCGCCCATGGGTCAGCCCGCCATCTGGTGACAACAGTTTCTATTCAAAGAATAAAAATCAATTAAAGAACGGGATTTTTAAATGAAAAAATATAAGCTACCTTTTGGTTGTGGAACAGCTGTTACGCCAAAGATCCCCTTGAGCACAGCGATGCAACGACCAACAATTACATCGTCGGAAACCTAGATATTTTTAAAAAGTTCGAATTAAGTCTTTTGTATGTAAAAGAAAAAACAAATTGCTATGAAAAGTGAAAAAAAATATACTTACTGTTTCCATTATAGCAGCCGCCTGGCCAGCAACCAGAGCCAATAGAACCGGTGACTGTGATATACTCCAAAACAAGAATAATTCACCTCGACTGGCCGTTGTACTTCCCACATGTCCGAATAAATTGGTATTTGGATCCCAGAAGATGCGATCAAAGCATAAAATGACTTTGTTTAGATTACCAAATCCCAATCGTTGTATTGCATTTTTCTTCCATTCCTGTAAGCAGATGGCAGTCAATTGGTATTATTTTTTTAACGGGAAATATTATATTTTTTTCATTCAGAAACAACATAATTACCGGCAATGGTGGATGAAATTGAACAGTATTTTCTTGATTCACTGACAGTGGTGAAATGGCAAGTTTTAAAATACCAAGTGTTAGAGTGCACAGTACCAAATCGGCTTTATAAACAACGGTGGAATTATTAGTTTTTAAATTATCAGCCGTTACTTCGACGCCGCCTTCGAAATATTTAATTTTCTTCACTGCCGTATTGACACGAATGTCCAGGCCATCTGTCAATGCAATCGGTACACACGAATATCCATTTTGTACAGTTGTATGGCTTCCGATAAATCTGTATATGAGACATATTTGTATTTATAAATTGAATTGATGAAATTCCGATGATTTTTTTTTTTAAGTCACTCACTCATAATCATCGTCTTGATCCCAATGCTTGAGTGACAGGTTCTGAAGCGGTGTTGCATTTGCAAATTCAAGATTCGCAAAATGCCAATCCAAAATCTGACGGTCACTTGAACTTAAATACACATCGCTCGGTGGGTTTAGCTCCAAATCTTTAAGATTTGACTCCAATGATTCTTTGTTTGTTTGTAGATTTTCCAATTCCTTCAGAGCCACGCTCCAATCGCGTGATGTGCTCCGAACTTTAAATTCGTGCTCCAAATACGTGCCGCTATTTTCATTCGACCGTACGGGACGTGTATCAACTAAACGTTCATAGAGATCTTTTAATTCTTTCACCTTCTCAATTTGGTTTGCAATGGCTTCTTCGTTTTCAATGATTTTTCGTTGTATCGTGATAATACTATGGAGATGTTGGACTTGCTTTTCTTTCACATGTTTTTCCTGTAGTTTGATGATCCATTCGAGAGCCTGGCCAAGTGAAACCGGTGTGTTGCCCGCATAATTGAAATCGAGCTGGTGTGATAAGTAGCTAGTTGACTCAAGCAATCGATTAAATTCACGTTCAACCATTTCGTCTTTTAAATTGCTAATTGTTTTAATATAAAAAATGAAACGAATTTATTTATAAAAAAAACGGACATTTGAACAATGTGTGTACCTTATTGGTTTCCCATCGGGGCCATATAAACGGCATGATTGCTTGATCGGAATCATTTTCATTCCAGTTTGTCGACTTATCGTTGTTAGCGGATTACCGTATATTCCAGTTACGACCATTGCACCCATATCGGCATAGTAATTATTCTTTCGAAATGTGGCGATTCGGCCACCAACTCTATCACGAGCCTCCAGAACGATCACATCCATTCCGAATTGCTGAAGCTGTTGAGCAGCTGCCAAACCTGTAAACAGATGGCGATTTTTGACGGAAAATAATCATTTTTTCATGCATGGGCAGCATAATTCCCAAAAAACAATAAATTCCTTTAAAAAAATATTTTTTTTTTTTGCTTTACCTGAAATACCAGCACCAATGACAATGACTTTGACGCCAAGTTTTTTAGTAGGTATCGGTTTTAATCGCTTAAAAATGCCAAAATTGATGAAACCATGCCGTTCCAAATATTCATGAATTTTTCGCACCAACTGATGATCGCTATCGAACGGTTTTTCAATTTTTTTCAGTGCATTTTCAAAGGTGAGCTGCGTCTTTGGGTCTTCAATCCACATTTGTAGCAATCGATTTCGAATATTCAAGAATACCCGTTGTGCTGCCAAGCCGTTCTTCGTGATGTCTGAAAAACAACTGGCTTCACCCGAAGTCATTTTTTCAAACGGTAACCTTTTTTGTTGTTGAAAAAAAGAACACAAATAAATACATTTTTTGCTTCAAAATTGAATGGATAAAAATGTGTGTTTTTTTAAATCAAACCTTGACTGAAATGCAGCTCCCTCCAAACCAGCTAAAATCTCTTTGAATTGAATGGGATCATTATCCTTTGCATTATCGGTTGGGACGGGACTTGGTGAGCGTTCTCTTTTTCTCGATCTTGTTTCGGTGCGATTTTCGGCGGTGCCATATGCATTTTTCTTTTCTACATTTGTGTGTGAAGTGGATGAAATCGGATTGTTTTTGTATGTGTCATTTGTGTGGTCATTGCCATTGCTTCGTCCACCTCTTGATTGATCGATATTTTTGACATCATCGCTGTCGGTTTTATTTTTTCGAACGCGACGGCTAACACGTCGTCCTTCGCTATCGTCCAATAAAAAATTGGACGTTGGTTCGTCAACAATAATTTTGATGTCGTTTGTACTGTACGAACCCGGTTTAACAGTCACCGTCTTCTCCGGTACATCATCATCATCTTCATCACTAATGAGCACGCATTCAATTTCTTTCTGAACATTTGCATTGGATGTGCCCATTTTATGAGTATATTTTTTGTATATTTTTTAATAATGAAGTCGATAGCTACTTTTTATTTTGATATCGCTACAAATCACCTTTGTTAAGACACTAAATTTAAACTAATATTTTAATTGTTTTGGGGTTTCGTCTTGTTTTGCATGTAAATTGTTTATATTTTCCCCGCAATTTGACAGTTGTATCTGGTTGGTAGAGCAGCGCCGCCACACGACCAGCGCACAAGTATCGGTTTTTTTGAGACGAACGTATGGATGCGTTTAATGAAAATGAAAATATATACATGCTATTTGAACACTAAAATTGGCGTTTATAAAGTAAAATAATATTTTTTTCTCTCTACCATTTCAATTGATAATATACAATAATAATTATTCAATTTGTGTACAATTTCATTGCATCATACTTATCATACAGAGGATTTCGTTTTGTGACAAATTTCCAATACAAATTTTCACCGATCAACGCCAGTAGAGCGATACCATAACCGATTAGCATGGCAAATAGAACACCGTATAATTTTTTCAAATCCATTAAAGCCTCTTGTGGTGACTCCTCAACACTGGCTTCGAATCGTTGAATGCTGTCCGACAACCATTTACTAATCAAACCAGCTTCCATTATTTGACGAAGCAAACGGTCAAATGATGGTGTTAATGGTGAATTCTTCTCGAGCCCAATTGATATCGGCATATTGATGGCACACTCTTTCATAATATGCAAGTATTTTAATTTGTTTGACTCAATTTGATCATGTTTATGTCTCATCTCTTTCAAAAAGTACACATTTTCATAGTATGAAAATTTCCCCTGCGACACACGATTTATCTAACCAAAAAACGAACTTGAATCGTTAGAAAAACAGTTATCTTTTTTTGAATGATTATTTCTTACAGCTTCTTCCGCTGATCCAATGATTTCAATTTTTTCTCCAACTTTTTTGCTAACCTCATCGCTTGTTGTTAAAAAGAATTGCCGATTCTGTTCGCCCCAAACACCGCAGCCAATCGGACCGTTTCCAAGCTCTTGTAATGTATCTATGGTTACACGTGGAACTGGATTTGCTAAAATTGCAGTTAGACTTGCACGGTATGCAACCACAATTAAGATACAGTAGATCCAATACCATCCGGTTAAAATGCGTACTGCCCATTTTTGCGGTAATCGGGGCAATGACACCACTAACAACATCGAGTATGTCAGAAGTATACAATCACTAAATCCATGAAATATGTCGCGACTTTTCTTAACACGTCTCTGTATAAAAGAAAAAATAAACATGAATGCCATAATTCAAAATGAGATGTGTCCTACTTACTTTTCTGAAAATATACTTTGAGCTTGCGAATGGAGTTTCCGCCATTTCAATTTTGATCGAATTAACAATATCGGTATTATCGTGATTTTCATTTCCTGACTTTGATGGTTTTTTAGATGGTTGATTTTTCTGTATCCAAATGTTAATATGTTCGAATACATAAAATACAAATCCAACGCAAAATAAGAAGAACAATACACCTGCCCACATTTCAGAACTGAAAATTTATAACATTATAACATGGTAAATGTTTAATTTAAAACATCAGACCTAAATGGCAGCACTAAAGTTTGCCAAGAATTGTCACTCAATGATTCGGGCGTTAGGAATGTTAAGCATTGCGTAGAATACGGTATTGATAGATCCATGATTTCCAAATGATATGGAATGTAATGTAGATCGGCTAACGCAATGTCCGCGATCCCATTTACCTATAATATACAGAATTACAATCATTAAACATTAATTAATTGAACAAATTTAAAAATCAATCTACCATTTCTCCAAGCAATCCAGTATAGCTGCCATTTTCCGATTTCATTCCCCATTGTTCGGTCTCTGCATCGTCTGTTTCGTAAAATTCCACGGTAAAATTAAGCGCCTGTGAAATGCCATTGATTATCTCAACTTCTAAGCCAGAATAAATGGTTTCGTTTTCATTTGAAAACATTGAAAATACGCCCGGGGTGTGCTTCAATACACACACCAACATTCGTTGACCTAAATCCAAAAAATTCATAATCAACGTAAATTACGTATGCAGACGAAAAAGGTCACTTACCTTCCAAATCTTTTGTTTTATCAATATTCAATTTAATGCCGTGTCGATATCGGCCATTACGCCAAAAGTCTAGGCTCTTTGTTACAAATACGGACCGAATTGGTAATGGATATGGTACGGTTAGCAGTTCAAACGCTGTATGATTCGACGATCGATTGGCAGGAACATTTTGCTCGTACTGCCGCACAAAAATCACATTCACAAATCGCTTCCAAATGTAATGCATATGCGGTGCAAAGAGCCGATAATCGTTTAGAATAATAAGGCGCACTCGTGGACTTATCGTTCGTTTACTGTGAAACATAAAATTTTGTGAGAATGCAGTTTTTTCTATTCAATTTTGAAACTATTTAGCAATCATCAAATTATGTCATAGTTGAATTTTTCACTCACCGATCAATAAATTTAAGGAATCGATTCATTTGTATGCCATTTGCCAAGTAAATCAAATAACATTGACATCCGGCTCGATTTGCTTCTTTCAGAGCTACCATTGTGTCAGTCCTTGGTGTTATCAGATCTTCATTGAAATGAACACGAATGACAAAATACGTACTGCGTCCGATTTCGCTAAAAAGTTTCGTTTGTAGTAAATCGCTGTAAAGTGGATCTGTAATTATGACATAACAGTGACCTGGATCCAGTTTATAAAGTAGATCAGCTGTCAGTATCTCAATATCATCAAACAGTTTCTCAGTTCTTAGGATTTTCTCCAAACTCGAATTTTTGGCACTGCACAATCTGTAGCGACAATAAAACCAAATTACCAAATCATTAAGAGAAAAGTAATTTTATTTTCTTAAATGAAACTCACAGTAAACCGCTAAGCAAAACTAGGATCACTTTCATTTTCGTTGGATTTAAGAATGTGAAGTGTACTGTTCAACGGTCGAATGCTCAATCGGTCAATCCATCAATTGGATACGACGATAGGCAGCTAATTTGCTTACATGTTCGAGTCAATGTACGGATTGAGTACAACCGTTTGTGAATAATTAATTTTTCAATTCAAATGGTTCATGCATAAATAAGTTGAAGTTGAAAGGGAAACCGATGAATCTTTGTTGGACTGAACTGTCTGTTGAACTCATTTTCTATTCAAATTTTTGTTAATATTTTTCTTAAGAAAAAGTCGATATACCGAATACGCAACATGTGTTTGTTTGAAAATAATCGAAATGAAAATAAATGTATTATGTTATGTGTTGTGCCATTAAACGCGCCCATCGCTGACGGAGGAGAAATTCGTTCGACGTTGTGAATGATTGGATGGAATGTAGTATGTTTTTTTTGTTGGTTCTCTCTGTTTGTGCCGAAAGTGTGACACTTCGAAAGCCGATATTTGACAATTTCAAATAAGAACAAGCACGCAGAAGAACACAAGTGCAAACACACATGCAAAAGAGAGGAAAAGAAAATTTTATGAGCGATTTTGTTATCGCAATAACATTAATCATAACTTGTGTGTCTAGTTAATAGTGAATGAAACAACGGCCGTACTGTGCACATTTGTTTTTTTTTTGTTGAAAGTCAAATGAATCAAAAAGTGTTTTTAACAAAGTTGAAGCAAGAGAATAGCAAGAAAAAAGTGGTGTGTCAGCACAAGCACCAGCCTATGCTATCGAATTTACATTGATTACGTGGTAAATGCACAGTGGTCACTTGGATAAATAGCATACAAGGAAACAGCACCGATTCTAGAAGAGGCTTTGATCACACTTGGCAAAAGTGCTTCCGTAAAAGCTGAATAAACATACCGTAATCATTGCACAACCAAACAAAGAATATAATTAAAACGACGAACAAACGCTCAATTCGAAATCAATTTTTGTGATAACCAACCGAGTATTAAAAGTAGGTCTTACGTGGTCCTAATTACAATTTGTTCATTAGAATTATTAGCAGTAGCAGCAATAAACGCAACATGACAACTATGAATATCGTTTTAATTTTTATGGAATTGATATGTTTTGTAACGATATCACATGGATACGAAGTTTTATATGCAATAAATGCGGGCGGTGATGCTTTTACCGATTCGCATGGCATTTTTTATGATGGCGATCCGCTGGATGGAAAAATTGGCACCGCATCCGATTTTGGAAAATCATTACGCATCGGACGTGTACCCGAAGAGGATGAGCTCATTTATCAAACCGAACGATATCATACCGATTCGTTTCATTATGATATTCCTGTGCCGACCGACGGTGAATATATATTGGTATTGAAATTTAGCGAAGTTTATTTCACCAATGCGGATATGAAAGTGTTTGATGTGGTTCTCAATTCGGCGCACACAATTGTTAAGAAATTGGACATTTTCAAGCATGTTGGCAAAGGTGTTGCACACGATGAAGTGATTTATTTTACGGTGTCACGCGGAATTTTACATTTGGACGGAGATGAATCGCGTGTACGAAACGGTCAAGTGCGTCTTGAATTTGTTAAAATTTTGAACTATGACAATCCGAAAATCAACGGAATCATTTTATTCAAAGGACATAATCGAAAAGACTTGGATCAAATACCACGATTACAACCGGTTGAAGAGTACTTTGATCATGTATTGAAGGATAAATTGGACGTGTATGAACCGGATGATGATACAATTCAAAATATTCGCGAAGATGCGAAACAAGAAACGCCTAAAATACGGAAAACCAGTGGACCTAAACAAGATAACCCATATACACTCGACGATTCATCGACCATGCTACCGATTTTCATCGCAATCGGAGCATTTGTTCCGCTACTGTTTTGCCTGTGCAAAATGTGATTTAATCACACTTCCACATATATAGTGAATAAACCGCATAAGTTAATGTTATCAATCAGCAAAAATCAAAAGCCATATTTTATGGTGATTATTAGCTAAGGTGATTATGCAATGACAGATTTTTTGTTTCGTTTGAAAAAAAAAGAAAAAGAAAAAAGAACCGAGTTCATTTAAAGGCATGTTATTGAATTTCGATAAGAAAATGCGCACATAGTGTTTTTCTTCCCTGATTTATTAATCAATGTAATAACGCACATAACGAACAACAAGTAGAAAAAAATTGTTTTTTTTCCTCTTCACAATAATAGTAAGAATGAGTTATTGTGACCGACTGATGATTTAGTAAATATTTGACTGGTTCTCTATTTTAAGTTACAAAACAGAGAGTTTTGTCAGCCACTGTGTGTGTGAAGATAGAATTTAAAAATTATTAAAAATTAAATTTATAAAATTTAATAACAATAAGAACAAATTTGGTGAGGGGAATTCATCATCACGATTATTTTTTTTCTGTTTAGTCTGTGCAATCTCATCATTCTCTTTTAAACATGTTTCATTTTTCTGCATTTCAATTGACAATTATATCAAGACGATTTTTTTTTGTTTTGAAAAAAAAAAAAAAAAATACCTTTGTGATCTGTACTGATTTTAATTTCGCTTACCATTAACAATGTACTTAAGCGAGTGAATTGCGGGCTTCTCATACAATTAAGCTGAAACAAATGTATCACATTTATCCAAGACATATTATGTGTAATTTAGTTTAATTATACTATTGTTGATAAAACAAAAGATGAATTTAATTTCTTCGTGTGTATGTTTAAATGTATCTGAATAAATAAAAATGCGAAATTTGGAAATGAACAAAAAAAAAACTCTTCGGCATCATTGTTTTTCTTTAAACTGACTTTATTCATCAATTTGAAAAATGTTTATCCTATGAGTACATGTTCTTATCACCAAAAATTTCTTTTGTTCCCTTTATTTCCGGCAGCAAGAGGATTCTAATTCAACCAGACTTTTTTTTATATTGAAAATGTATTGTTTTTTCAGCTTGGACAACTCATCGTGCTCTTTTTTTTCATCTTCTCCATTTTAATCCAGCTTCTCAAGTTGTTGCGGTGATATTAATGAAAGAAGGCCTAATATGCCGTTCCTGTGTTTCAAAAAATGAAAAAATATATTTTTAATAAGTGGTGCACCAAATTAAGACTGTACAGCGTAGATAATGAAAAAGGATGAAATTGGACAAGGTAAAATAGTTCATTTAGAAAAAAGCTTTTCTTTCAAATTCCAAACTACGGTAAGAAATGCAAAAATAATTCGGCCAAAACTGGAATTGTCTACACACAGGAACTAAAAAAAGGTGTTAATGAGTCAAAAAAAGAGATAGTTGAAAATAGGTCGATTCATCGATTCACACTTCGAATGCTCCGGCACTTACAAGGTCGACGAACCTGAGCGTCTGTTACTATTTTGACATTGTCCATATTGATTAAGTACGCAATTGCGACGATTTGCTTGTACATAATGTTTTCGATGTTTATCATTACCAAAAGCAGTTTGAACATCATGCGGTGCTGTAATTCTTCGGCTGGCGCTCGTTGTGGCACGTACACGATTTCTCAAATTACCATTGAGTAATGTATTTAGATTTGGATGGCTGGATTTCTTGTGTTGTAGAGGTTGTTCTAAGATTATGTGCACTGGAATTTCATTCGGTTTGGTTGGGAATGGTTTTTGTGCACTTTGTACATTTGCAATGTCAGCCAATGATAATTTTGGTGGAAGATCTTCGGGAGATGGTGTTGGTGTTGTAACCACTATACTACTGGCTTCATTATTTGCCGGTGCTGTATTTTCACTGAGAATGGTTACCGACTGTGTCTTATTGATTGGATCTTTAATAATTGGTTCTTCAATTATTGAGGCACTCTCGGTCGATGGATTGTCCATCGCTTCATCATCATCAGTTTCTTCCGATTCAGAGTGAATGAGCGGTGGTGTGGCTACTGTTGTTGACGATGTTTTCTCTGTTGACGATGGAATATTATCAACCAGTCCGAAAATCGGCTTTACAGTAAAATCATCTATATCATAGTAGTAATCTTCACCAGAATCGCCAACATCACCATCAATGTGACCAGCATCTAATGCAATGATCGCAACGTCTTTTATATTCAAATGAATGTTATACTTTCCACTTTGCTTTTGATCGTATGTTGTTAAACCTGTTTCTGGTTTTTGTCTTGCTGATGCTGCTGAATGAGATGCAGCCGATGATGGTGACGGCGATAACAAAGCCGATAGAAGTGATGTGGCTGGTGCAGATAGTACGCAACTTATAGCGCATAACACAAATGTGCACAATAACAATGTAAATCGATACATTATGCAAAATAAAATTGAACAGCAACGACAACGACCTCAACAAATTAACAACTCGTTTTTTCAAAAGAAAGATTCTTTATTTTTTATCAAAATACGTCTGATTTTCTTTGCTTTTTTTTAGCAGAAATTTCACTGTTCACACAATCTAGTTCTGACCACAAAGCCGGTTTGCAATGAACTTTTTTTTTCACGTTTACTCTGCTTTTATTTTGTTCTTTCTGTTTTTCTCTCTCTCTTTGAAATTACGTGCGTAGAAAGTAGAATTTTTGCGTCCGATCACCATGAATGCCAAACAACGACTGATTTGTTAAATAAATTCTTCTCGGCGTCTTAAGAACTGTCCAACTATCTTGATTTGTCAGTTTCTTTCCACTTCAACATCGATTGGTGGTTAACATTTGTATTTTTTCTTTAATTCGTTCTTCATCACACATCTTCTTCTTCATCTATGAATTTAAACCGTTATCTAATGACGAAACACAAAAAGAAAGGTGCTGATCTTGCATGCTTCATTATAAATTTGTTTGCAGAAGCCTTTTTTGTTTGAAGATTGGTTTTGATGCTCGAAGAAAACGAAGAACAGAAAAAAACTGCTTAATACATTCTTTGTATTAAGATGATGACCGCTGACATTTGTTTGTATTTTTCGGTTGAAATTTAATCGCTTTTTTCCAATTGATGAATCTAATTATGGCAATTACCTCATCTATTCTCTAAACTAAAATAGAATATTTGTGACCAATTGTTTTATTCAGTTCATTGTGTTGCAAAAATTTGGCGATAATCAACATAGTCATCGTTTCATCGTTAAATTGGAACAAGCGTGTAAATATGCTGATTTTTAATTGAGATTATGTGTCGGATCCATTAAATTTCGCATTTTCAACACCTAACATACGATAAAGTGCGCATATCGAAAAGTTCTATTTGCTGTGTATTGGTTTCAGCCGTTAGGAGAATGTAATCAAAAATCTACAAGCTTTCAAGTGGCCATATAACGCTCTTTCCAAGAAATAGAATAAAATTAGTGGATAACATGCAATGTACCGTTGGTCATTTGGAAATAAAAAACTCATAATCATCGCATCAATCAATGACTGAAATTGAAACATTTTCAACAAAGTATGTTTGTGTTCATTCTGAAGTGGCATCATTCAAAAATACACTTCTAAATCATCTCGAATAAAAATATGTTTACGATTTGGAACAAAGTATCTAGATAAAAACCTTATGAATGTTTTATGGAAATTGAAACGTGAGAAGAAAAATGTAGTGAAATTGCCCGAGAAAGATAAGCCATTAAGAATTTATGAGTGCAAAAAGAAATTTGACGCTTCAATGTATTGTGGTTGAAACCAGACCAAATCCATACCAGTTTTGCACCAGAGAATTCATTCCCATAAAACAACTTTTTAATTCTTTTTCACAATGAAAGTGCTCGATGCATGGCGATCTCGAAAGTAGTACTTCATAATACAATTCACATTGAATTTTTTTAGCACACTTTAAACACACTTTTATTAAATGCAATGTCCAAAAAAAAATCGTCAAAAGAATACATTTATTTTACATATTTATACGATATGAAAATATTTTCTGTCTGGAGAAATGCATTCTTTGATGGTAGCTTAATCGCACAATGTTCCAAAACATATTTCTCGAGAGTTAAAATTAAGATACATTAAAGTACATTTTCCCAAAAAAACTATTCACCGAAAAAAAAATCTCGAAATAAAAAAATCATTTCAATTTTGGTACGCCAAAATGTGAGAAAAGGTTAACAGAGAATAAAAGAAAAAATTTAAAACTATCATCCGATTATATCAGATCAACATTTTCCGGGCAAAAGTCGTAAGATAAAATTCGTTCGGGAGAAAATTCGTCCGGGAAATCTGCCAGCATTCAACTTACTTTACTTTCGTTAAGATTTCATGTACGTATACGATGAATCAACGTCAAAGCTCGGAAACATTGGTAATCTTTTATGAAATGTAAACTTCTTTGTTGAAGTATCTAAGCAAGCACATTGTTTCAAAGAAATGTGCGTAAGAGATTGAAGACAGTTAAAAAAGGTGATAACCGGTCGTTTCCAGTTGATGTAGTTCGCCCAAGTCAAAGCCATATAAGCGTCTTAAGTTACATGGAATACTGTTATCATTCCTTTGTTTTTAGAGTGTCTTGACAAAATGAAATGCTGGCTGCTGCAAGATATAATATTATGTGCAATTTGTATGCAAACTAATGCTTGTTTTGCACGTATTATTATCGTCACTCGGAATTTTCATTGGCTCGGCATATGCCTTCAAATGAATATTAATGCGATTCTTCTAATAAGAACCATACGGTTCAATGCATTTTTTGAAGAAAATCGAAATCGTTATTTTGTTGTGATAAAATTATCATAGAGAATTGGTGCACATACTATTGGGAGGGTAAATGTGCATGATCTTTTACATGGAAAAATTTGCATTTCATTTTGCAACAAGTTTGGCTGACGACTGGGAATTCTTTTGTGCAAAATACCGAAAGATGCACGAAAAGTCTCTCAACATTCAAACAATGCATCTACTCTCTCACTATCTCCCTATATGTCTTAATGGCAACGTATATCCAATGAACAATTTCATCGAATGAAACCGCAAGTGTATCTGCAATAAAAAGTAGGGGAAATGCTATAAAAAACATCGCAAAGTATATGTCGCTCCACATCGTTTCGTTTTCTAAACGATAAAACATCGAGGCATTAACAAACGACCGGCGTTTTATCTTCGCTTCACATATCGGATACTTGGAATGAGCGCGCGAAGCAAAGAACAGTGTGAGCAAAACAAACGTTTGCGATGTTTTTTGGGTATTGAATGCGTGTGCGCGATATCCATGTATGTTTTGTACTAAACAGACAAGCAGGAAGGTATGATCGACTCGTATGTGCTGTAATACGTTCAGTTACGATTTTTCAATCGAACGAAACAGAACGGTGTTGAAACAACGGTGCATATTACGTGCTGGTATTGTTAGTGCCTCGTTCAGTTCATTGCGCTACGAAAATGCAATCGAAATGAAAATTCAAAAGGAGAACTGAATGTGAAGAATCTATCAAATGTGTTGTTGGTGGTTTGTTATTCCACTGAATCGAAATTAAATCATCAATCAATCTTTTTCGGAACATTTTGCCTTATTTTTCTCCATTTTTTTCGGCTTACTGTGCCGATATAGTTTTTAATTGAATTTTGAATATATTTTTTGTACCAACAATTGCGGTGGTGTGTAGCGTTCGTTTTTTATATACAGAATAGATTTTCCCTTTTTTGTGTGTTGCAAAAAAAAAACAGATTTCTGCTGTGAAACATGATAGTGGAAGTTTTTGAATGGATTAAATATTATTCATGTGCCGGATCAAGGATTCATGATATAATAAATTTCCGCCACCTTGATTAATACCAAAAGTTTATTTGATCGAAAAACTATGTAATTTAATTCAACTTAAATTTTGCTGAAAATTCTGAAAACTCCTGTGATTTTTTGATGTGTTAATGTGCTATTCCGTGCGAACAAGAAAAAAATGCGATAGAATCTTGGGAGCAAATATTTAATATTTAAATCGTTGAATTGTGTGAGTTCAAAGAAAAACTACCCAGAAAACATAACAATCAGTTAGTTTAGTGCCATTGCCGGAGTAATATTGCATAATTTTTAAATTCGTCGTAAAATTTTAAGTAAAATTATGCACGAAAATGTGAAAATGTTGTGTTGTTTAGTGTCTCATAAACATTTTGCCCGGATCAATAATCGGCATCAATATTTTTGTGTAAACACAGTGAATGTTTGAAGTGTTTTTTGAATCAGGCAAAAAATTGTGTTAAACTCAACGAAAAAGAAAACAGTATCATATCAAAGGAATATACACATAATACATTCATAATGGATGTAGATAAAAGAAAATTTGGAATTTGTATCGTTCGGCAGTGCTTGTTAGTCGTTTTGATCTCGTCATTCGTCGCTAGCGTAAAATTTGGCTTAATTTCACCGATAGGTATGTTTTCTATAGGTCTCAACGGAACCATTTAGATGATGAAAAATAAAAATAGAAAATTTTTCGAAACCAATATATAACCTTTCCATATCAGATAATATAATATTATGAAAATTCCTCGGAAGAGGAAAAAAAGTCATTATTAGCATGTTATCACATTGAAAATTCCGTCGCATAAATGCTGTCGAATGAGGAGGAGAACGAGAGAGGAACCAGAGCGTTGACGATTATGTAGGTCACCTAAATAAAACGCACTGCATGGTTAGGTCTCTTGTTATGCAAGGGATAAAACTTTTCATCTCGTTTGGTTCGATGCCAGACGCGCATAAGCACAATAAATTACCACGCAATGAAAGCGATTCTCAGTTTGGCTATTTAAATGAACTGGAACTGTTTCGTCAGCAGAGATATTTGTATTTGAATTCAACAGTTCTATTTCCTACATTCAATTTTCGTTGGGCAAAGGTTTTATTTTATGTCGATTATTCTTGGCAATGGAGACGCTATGAAGTGCGTTAATTCAATTTCAAAATGTCAAACCCTACTTTTAAATATCATTATGTATACTTTCCGATTGACATGAGCATTTCAATTTCCTCATTCGTTGACACCGGTCAAAAGCTATTTAAAAAATCTGTAATCACTCATTCCAGCGTGGATTTGCGGTGATTGCAATCAGAATATTAAATTGGATATTGACAGTGTTTCCATTCATTTTGAATTTTACAGAAGTAGTCGAAGAATGGGGATGCCAGGATACGGAATTTCGTTTGACATGCAGCAATTTTGATTCAAAAATCGCCATACTTGAAGCCACATTCAAACCGAATTGTTCATTGAAAGCACGAAACTCATCATATGCTGGAGATAACGACACCGAAAATTGCGTTCAATTTGATTTTAGAAGGTACTTAATACTCCTTGATTAATTCACTAAATTTTCCTTATATTACTCAATGTGATGCCAAAAATAAACGAGCTCTTAATAACATATTCGCTTGAAAGGTAGCACATTGTAGAGTCTTCAAACACAACGGACAGATCGACACACACACTTCGCCAGTTTTGACGAGGAAATGAACGTATATTTTAGTGAAATCCATTTTGAAAAATCACATGAATGAAACACGACCGCATTAAATATTCATTCTCGTGTTTTCTCTGTCGTAGACATTCAAATGATGAGCCAACGGTCTCTGTCTACGAACGTGTGTGGGGTTTTTACTTTTACATTTCCACTGTGAATAATTTCAGATTTTCATGCAAATTATAATTCGACCGTATAGACATAGGCCAACAAAATGCTACACTGTCATGCGATGGGAATGTTTCGCTTTTCAGCAGAAAGCAAAACAGCAAGAGAGAGCGAATTTTCCATTTTCATAACCTCATGATTTGTTGGCATGTATTTCCTTTCGTAAACTGTGGTCTTATTTGTGTGTGTCACATCGTCCATTGTGGTAGACAGACTGGTGACCGAAACTGACAATTTTATTTTCATTTCTATAATTAGACTAACGCCAAAGCCGATTCCACGGCTCGATGAAACAATTGCTGCTGGCAATCGATTTCTAGAAGCATTACGTCAAGCTTACAATAAAGATAACGAAACAGCCGATCCAACGGTGAAGCCGATAAAAGTGGCATCATTCGATTTTGGTTTAACGCCAAAAGATGATGCCAACGATTTAAAACGCAAACGAATGACTCTGAGAGTCTCATTGGAATCGCTACTTGTTGAATATTTACGTGGTTTGGCGCCCGATAACAACAACGGTTTGACTGATGATTCACGCGGTGGACGTGTTAAACGCAGCAATAGTGCCGAAATGTCATTGCAAACAAATGATCAAAATGAAAACAGCGAAAACAGTGACGCGAAAAATGTGAACAATTCGAATGTGCGTAAAGAAAATCTTGTAATTCGAAATAATGACAGTGAAAATGCATATGACAATGATGAAACGGACGACCGACGCAATCGTAGAACGAATGCATCAAGAAGTTTTTGTCCCGAACATAACAAACGTGTCACACAACTTGATCGCAACGAACTGGCAACCGCCATTGAAAACATTTCCGAACTCGAACACAACATTCGCAGTCTACTAAATCACAGGTATTTGAACTGAATTTATTATTAAATTATACAAAAGTTTGAAATATTTTTCTAAAAGAGAAGTTAAAAAAAGGCTTCTTTGTTGACTAAATAAAATAGCGCATGGAAATATTCAGTTAGACATTCGTCACAACTGACATAAGACATGGTTTTGGTAGATTTTCATTTTGCATGTTCACATGCAATATTCAGTTCGCTGTCAAGCCATCATTTTGAGCAAGATGTTCTCATTTTTAACGTCGATTCGTAAACACACACTTGAAAAATTATTCAACGGGAAAGAATGTCAAGGATTTGACACATGGAATGCTTCTTTTTGCTTGAAATACCGATAATTTTTTAATTCGGTTGAAAATTTCTGTTCCATTCAAAGGAATGCTTCTTTTGGTCTCGAAAATCTCTTTGTATTTTGAAATGAGTTGCAGTCCTATGATGTAACATCTATCCAAAACTGAATTTCTGATTTATTTTTGGCTGTAGCAAAATTAACTTCCGCTTAAAAAATATCAAGAGAGTGTTTACAATCAGCTTTGCATCAATCAAAGATCATTGGCAAATAATAACATGGTTAAATATCTTTTTAATCATGATTCATGAATGAAAAGAAGGGGTCGTTATAAAAATCGGAAATTCTTCTATAAACCGGTAATATGCATTGATTTAGTGAAGTGACTTAAGTAGCTCTTGAGTTGCTTATTCGTAGTATGGATTTCATATACCTGAGCCAAAAAGAAAATTCCGCAGCATGAAACCGCATTTCGTATTCATCAATGTGATAATTAGATTTGTATCTTCTTTTTTTTTCACAGAACGTTACAAATCCATTCATTTTGTATGTGTATATTCGCTCCCTATTTCATTGTTGTTTCTTTGCATCAGCATAATTTCTTTGTTGTTCAGTTCTCAAATCAATTTGTACTTTAAGCCTCTGCAAACATATCGAACAATAGCAACCTTAATTGGAATGACTTGGTCTGTGAAATTTTTTCTCTCCTCATCGCTTACCACCTTGAACTCTTTGAACTGAAACCAAATAACGTAAAGCAAACAATAGCATTTAAAGGGACATTCAGAAGAGGAAGGAAGGAATGGTCGAACGAAGAAAAAAAACACAACAAAACTTATTTCTACAATCACGTCGCTCTGTAACGACATTTACTTTATTTATTGCAAGAGGTCTGCCGTTCAATCAACAGTTCAGATGCTACTGTTTCGAATACACAGCGTTTTCGTTTGTCTTCAAAGTCGATATGTTACACATTTTTCGACCCGAGCTATAAGCCTGTCCGTATCGACCAACAATTTTCTGTATAAATTACGTAAAAAGAAGGCGACCCTTCGAAATGAATACACTCGGAATTGGGAAAGCGAAATTGGGTTTGGCACAGACTTAATAATAAAGTTGAATGTCTGACAGTCTACCAAAAGCTGTCGTGATGGTATTAACAAATAAAAAAGCAACAAATTTTACTGTGAATCGTCGAACATTTTCCGTACGTTTTTCGCTTGCGTGTGAATGCCGACAAATTGCATTAAACGCATAACAAAACCCGAAAAAAACACACACACAACACAGTTCAACGAAACTTCTTTAGCACCCGAAAAAAAGTGAGCAACATTTCTGCAAGAAAGCTAGAGAAAAATGGCTGAGCCAATATATATTTTATGCCATGAACACAAAGGGGGCCGATATGTTTGATGCACTTGTTTATTTACTTATTTTTATTTGAAAAATACTTATGTATTACGTTTCATTGCACGTGGCATTTATGCAATAAAATTATCAAGATACGCGTTACCATGGAGCCTAAGGCTTATTCCTTTTCGCCCTCTCTTTCACTTTAATTCGCCGATTTTATGGTTATAGTTGATGTTGTAACAAGAAGTACTACATATTTTTATACAAAAATTACTCGCAAATACGAATAAAAAAGAAAACGTGAACAAATCCTAAAATAATCATCTTCGGTCGAATTTTTCTTACTTTTTCCGATGTTTCCTTGCATTCGACTCCATACAATTTAATTGATTGAAAACGTTACAGTTTTCAGCAAATTACATCTTTTGTAAATACTCATTCGTCCCTCTTGAATTCAATACAAAATATATTTTTTTTGTTGTTCGATTTTTTTTCATTCAGAAATAATAACATATTTTATTATTCAAACCAATATGAGGATAGGAATTTGGAGAACAAATAAAAATACTCCGTTAAATAGACAACAAAAGTGTCAAGTATTGCTATATACAAACTCTTTTGAAACACATTCATATGTCGAATCGCTGAAATGAGATCGGTTGATATTGAACTTGATATTGAAAATGCCATACAAGTAAATTCAAAATTAAAAGAGCCAAAAATTGGAACTGTTATAGGCACTGCGGAGGCGTTGTTTTTTACTCAAAAAAGTGCGATCACTACTAAGTTTCGTCGCTCTTCTCCAGTATCAATAACGGTTTTGCCAAAAATTCTTATCTCTTTGAATGTTTTTATGTAAATTTTCGACTTTTATTTATTTGTACGTTCGTCAAGGTAAAACACCTTCCAAGTAAGAGTTGTCTTTGATAACCACTAAACCGATATATCCAGGTATTGAAAGCGCTGTGATAAAGTCATATATAATCAAAAAAATACACATAGCAATACTCAAAGTAATCAGGGTATTTTACCATCTATACAGAATTACAGAATCATACTATATCAAGTGATATACTTCGGATCACAATCTGTAAATGCCATTTCACTCTGAATATTTTGAATTGAGCTGTTATAGATAAAGCTGTATTTTTGTTTCAAATGAATGAAGTATCGTATGATTCCATTATCATATGTAAAATAAAATAGTAAAAATAATAGTAAACAATCGAATAGACGTCATTTAGTCGACACTAATCAAGTCGACAATAATTATAAACATGCGTAGAAACGTGTCGTAAATCACATATTCAAAATACGTAGATTACATAGAAATGCTACTGATTATGGCCAATATTAAATCGCACAATAATCAGCTTGGAAATACTCAAGATAGTGGTGTGAACAGTGAAATAGATAGAGAGATGATAACTTCAATTTTTTAATCTATTTTTTGTGTTGATAATAATAATAATCATATTGCAATAAAAGAAATATTGTTTATTTAATAATAATTGAATTATTATTGGGTAAAAAACTTAATAATATGAAATTTAATCGTCATGTCCTTCGTAATGGACACCGAGTTGTCGACGAAGTTCATCTTGAATACGAGCAATTCCTAAACTGTCGCTGTGTGGTACGTTTTCGTGTTCCTTTTTGCCAGTACGAATGGCCTTGCGAACTTCGTCAGCTTCGTAACGCAAGCCACAGCTATTTGGATAGTGGAAATCGAATTTGGCCTTTGGCAATGGCCAATGTTTTTCTTTTCCATCGAGATCGATAATTCTTGTTGAGCAAAAGATTTCATTAATCTATATATATCAAATGAAATGGATGACATTTAAAATTAATAAATTGTTTGAAAAATATGGATTTGAGAGGAATATACCGTAATTTGTCCTTTTGTTCCGACGATCACTACAGAGTTGCTGTACTGATTTAATGCGCTTGTGTTGATTTGAACTCTCTTGTTGTCTCCATAATCGAGTTCAGCACTCATTTCGATGTCAACACCTTCTTCGTTGAGAATTCCCTTCGCTTTGATCGATTTTGGCTCTTCTTCCAATACCCATTGACACGCTTGGATCGTATAAACTCTTTAAAATAATACCAAATATTCTCTGTAATTGAAAAACTTCGTGGTTCGGTTGAAAATTCGCATTACCCCATATCAAGAATTGTTCCACCACCCATTGATTTTTTTGAAAGACGATCGACTTTGACCAAGTCCTTAAGACCAAATTCAGCTTTCACTGCTAAAATTTCACCGAGCTGACCGTTTCGAATTTGTTTACGAACATGTTGGTAGCTTGGAAAAAATCGAATCCAAAGGCCTTCCATAAAAAATACATTTTTTTCTTTGGCAAGTGCCACCAATTGTTCGACTTGTTTTGAGTTCATGCCACACGGCTTTTCACATAACACGTGTTTGCCGTGTTCAAGCATCAATTTCGATACTTCAAAATGCCTGAAAATAAATGAAAATAAGTGATCTGCGTATGATTCAGAACAAAAAAATCGTTGATTTTTACCATGGATTTAATGTTCCAACGTATGCAATTTCAACGTTTGGATCTTGTGCCAATTCCAAGTAACTTCCGTATGCGTTTGGTATATCAAATTTTGTCTTAAGTTTTTCAGACTCTTTCAAATCATGACAACCAACAGCAACAATTTGATGATCGTCCGGATTTAATGTTAACAAAGCGTTAACAAAATCGTTGGCAATCAAGCCGGCACACGAAATACCCCAACGCAAAGCCATTTTTAACAACGAACTGTTCACTGTTTCACAAACAATTTACTTCTGATTAAATCATAGAAGAACTGCTATATTTATACCGAGCAAATTTCATAAGCCCGTCACATCTTATCAAATTGGAGAGAGCGGCTTGCTACTAAACACTATCTGACATTTGTGCTTGATATTGATTTATGAAGAAGTGTTTTTTTTTATTGTGCACTTCAAGTCTAAATTAACAACCAAGGAGAAAACAACTCTCTCATAACTGTTATTCAATCTAAAAAAATTTCATGACAGCAATAAAATGTGGCTGTTGATAGTTGTTATCAAACAAAAAAATCATCCTCACATGAGATGAACGCAAAATCAATAGACCTTTTGACATCAATATTTTTCCACAAATATTGATTTGAATTGGCATTAAAAATGCCGAATTCGATGTGACAAAATTAGAAAAATTGATTGCAAATATTGTCAATAACCGGTTTGAATTTGGTTCAAAATATCACAATGTCGCTAGAATGAATCATACGTTGTCTTGTATTATCGCTGATTTTATTACTTCAAAAAATTCCAGTATTAAAATAGATTTCATGTAGGATTCACTGTACTACTATGAAAGTGACCGAACTCTGTCTATGGACGAACACTCAATGACATAAATTTTGATGTGGTTTCACGTTTCTCGTTGAGAGATATAAGTGTGTGAACGAGGAATGAATCTTTTTGAATTGTGTGTACATTTTCGTTGTTGATATGCGATGTTTAATTTACTATCATTTTGCCTTGAAAACGGAGCATACCCGAACACAATTGGCAAATTTGAAATAAAAAGAGAAAGCCGATTGACGATAATATTCATATTTAACTTTGATAGTAGACGCTCCCTCCCGACAACTTCTTTCGGTCAATAACCCACCACAACTGTATCTATCATTTTGATATGTCCCTTTTAACAACAGCAATCAATTATAATAAAAAAGTTATTCTTGGCATTTTGATATTTTGGTGAGTGATATTCGCGTATCTTCTATCGAAAGTGAGTGTAATCATTACTTGGAATTGTATTGAAAACAACAACAACAAGAACATATATCAACGAGTGATTTTTAGTTTGTATGTAATGAAAATGGAAAAGGTGATAGCATTCAAGTCTAGATTCAAGTACCACAAAAAACCACGTTATCAGATCTTATCTATTGAATTTTCAAAGTCAAAATTAAAAAACATGTGGAAATATCAATAAAAATCTTTTCTCTGTCATTCGTAGTATATCAATTTATATTTATATTTCTTTTGATTCGATTACACGTTGCTCTTGTGAATGCGATTTTAACACAAATCGGCGAAACAAGTGGAAAGGTAATATCATGATTCTATTGTAGTAATTTTATGAGTCTTTCGCATGAAGTAGGGAAGCAAAATCATACTCCCGGTGACAAAGTCGTGCGAATTCAAGGGGAGAGTTCCTTGTCTCCGCCAAACTAATCAAGACATTTTTGCGAAGGCATTTTGTAGAAAAGCATTTTTAGATGCGGGTTTTATTGGAGTAAATAACATTACGTAGTTGAATTGCAGTTATACAATGAGATGATATCGAAACGTTTTAAATGTGCTCCTTTCAGATCTCCCTCTTCTCACATCACGATGACAGTTGAGATGAAAAGAAAGAGAGTGAGAGAAAGACAGATAAAGGGAGAAAAACGAGAAAGAGAGAGAGAGATAGAAAGACCAGTAATTTTCAACTTTGTATTATGAAAGGCGGATCGTTTATCTTTTTTCCGTCAAAAGTGTATAACACACGGAGTTGTCATCGGTGCCACAAACATATGCATTGTGACAGCGTTTCACCCCCATTTAAGTGTTTATTTCTGTCTGTGAGAGAGTGTGCAGGTGAGTACCATAATTCCAGATCCATTTCGTTCCATTTTAATGTACGAAAAATCGGTACTTCAAATATGACTTACACGCTAAAAGTCGATAAATTAGCGTGTAATTAAAATAATTCTTTGTTTCATTGGATCGTAGGAAATTCGAATATTATGACGTGAACGAAGATGGGAATTTATTGTTTCGCACTTAGTGCACTCTCTCGGGTATACGCTCGTAATATAAAGAGGCATCATAAAATCAATGTGCTATTTCAATTAAATCGACGTTGAAAGAAGCAAATCATTTCCCTGTTGCCGTTAGCAAATTATATTACATGATTTGGGTGTTGTTCAAATTTACGCATAAATTTAAAACTTTTGGCATTTTTCAACTCAGGCTCCACTCTCGTTTTATACATAAATGAATCGAAAAATACCAAAAAAAAATCGATGCCTGTTTTTTGTTCGCATCAGAATCACATGGTCCCGTGTTCATAAAAGGCATTATATGCCTGCTCTATTGTGTAACGCTCCATGATTTATGGCAAATGATGTCTTATATAATGCATAAGAACTATTTTTAAATCGCACACATATTGCGCTTCGATCCTCACATGGTCAATTTAATTTTTAGTAGTATATGCTCTGCGCCTTGTTGCAGGCGCACATCTCGTCTATTGCGTATGGAAAAAATCTCCGATAAATTTTGATGGGTCGAATAACAAATACGAAGCAAAACAAAAACAATCTACTCAATTCAACAGAAATAAAAATGAAGTGAATGTTATTTATTGCGTTGACTTCTGAAGAAACCACATATATCTTATTCTTTTAAAATGGATTTTAATTGAATACAACTTGGGACTGAGTGTTCTTTTTCAAGCGTTATATTCATTCCATTTTGATTTTTAACAAATCGTTTGGCGTACCTCAGTTTGGCAACCAAGTGGGAGTTTGTGCAAATAATCACATGAGTCATATCCAATTCTGAACGTCACGATAAACCATTTGAGATTTCGACTCGTGCTCTTTTAGTCGCTCAATCGTAGTCGCTATTGACACTGAGATGATTACGTTATTGTTTCGAGAATGTACGTAATTTTACGTTTCGTTATAAAAGTTTTTGAATGAAGAAAAAGTCTAAAAAAATTGCTGGAAAGAACTTCATAAAGAAAATTATTGTAGTTTATTATTTTGGCAATAATTCCCCGCAGATTGTGTGTCTCAATGAATCTTATGCAACCATTTACGAGACACTGAATGTTTGTGCTTGGGCGTGTGTATGAGCTGTGTGACTTGGGTGTTCCGCTGCAACGCTTCCAAAGATGCCTCGAGTAATTGCGTGTCGCCCATCGTCGTTTCGCTTAAGAGGCACGAAAATCATAACGCTGTGTATCTGTCATACTTGTTTTCCTCTCTCTTTTTTTCAAATGTAATTTGTCAATGTTATCAGTGGATCTCAAAGTTGCTGCACAAACTTTTAATTAGTTTACCAAGCAAACTTCGTATTTAATCCATTTTGTGCGAGTGATTTGTACAGAGAAAAAAACTTAATGGAATGAGACTGCATTGTGTGTGCGTCATTGCAGCACATTATATTGTCACTGTTGTTATTTATCAACATCAAAAGTTTTGCGGCAGAAAAAACAACATCAACAAAAATTCAATTTCCATCATAACGAAAAATATACAACCAAATTTTGAAGTTGATTGAACGGGAACGGGTGAGCATTGATTACATGCCTTTCGGAAATTTGAAACGTTTTAATTGAATATTGTTGGACAGGAAATGAATAAATTATATTTGAAAATTGGTATCGTTTAAACATTTGAAGAGAAATTCTTGAAAATGAGGGAGAGAAAGAAGAAACACACTGTTATCTATTTATGCATAATTGAATCGGAAAAGGCTTCATCTCTTATTTTTCAGTTTGAAACGCATAATTACAGAAAACGAATAGATATCCACAAAGTGCTTATGTCATTGTCAAAGCCTTTTCAAATTGATTTAAATTGAATAAATTAAACGTTAGTTTGCCTACACTAGTTGCCGATGCTATTTTTATAGCCATTGATGCTACTGTGTGTCTGATGGGTGTCCGGTTAAACTTTTTTTTCTTCTTGAAGTGTCTCTCAATCTGATGACAATCAACGACAAATATCATTAAGTGTGATGATTCAATACGGTGAGAAGAAAGCCAGTCGATAAAATCAAGCAGTGCATTTAATTTGATTGGGTTATAATTATGGCACTTAGTAAATTAACTCAATTAAGATTCCATCCTTTTGATCGATAAAATTACGTGATGTCTTTAATCGTGTACATAATTCGTGCAAGACAAAAAAGAGGTGTCTACTCAAGCAAAGCCACAGCAATTCAAATTAGGTACGAACGTAGCAATGCTATTCCGTCGGATTGGAATAAAAATAATCATATTCGATATAATGAAGGTTTTGGCAGCAACATGCTTTTGGACAGAAAAATGTACTTATCGCGACTCATGAATTCTTTAATTTCTGACAAATCGATTGTGGTTTGGGTTAGTCAAGCATTTACGCGCCGTTAACAATAGAAATATCTGATAAATGAGCAACGTCTCCACCGCACCTTATATTCATAACAATGCGCCATTTGATGGGGCCCAAGACTGTGGTGTGCCCATTCACTGATTTCTAAATAAATGAGTCTCGCAAATGAAGACAAATAAATCACACTCGCACACACAAGGTCGTAATGAATAAAAAATGCATTCAAACCGATTGTAATGGAAAACTTTTTCTATAAATGAATGCAGTCAAAAAGTAATTTATAATAAATGAATCAAAGCACAATATGAAGAATGAGCCCGACTGAGCTCATTGACAGCAGGGGGAAGACGAAAAATTGGCAAAGTCTATGAAAAATATTGTTGCAGACGATGATGGAAAGAAATTGATTTTTCTAACGTTTCCGTCGTAGGTTCACTTGGCGCTGTCATGTTACAGTTGTCACTTATCTCAATAGAACACTCGAGGCATATGAATTTTATGTCGTTGTAATCATCCCCCCAAACCATTTCCATCGTCATGGAAAACATGAAATTCAAAACATTGACAGACGGAAATTTCGGGTTCGTTCATGTTTTTCAAAACCACAACTGCCAACAAGTGCGTACATTAACCTCGATGAAGTACTCCTACCAACATACGAGCATATATCATATCTTATGCAACTCACAATAATCATCGAATGATGGCATTAAATCGATATTACAAAACGAATTTTCCCAAGTTTTTTTTCTGCATCGGGGTACGACGACTAATGATTTGCCGATTTGTGATTAACGAGTAAACAAACACAGTGTGGAGTTTGTCATTTTATTCTCTCATTTTTCCCCTTTTTCTTTTTCAAATTGCTGCTATTTTGCTTGTTTGTTTTCATCAATGTGCAATAAATCCCGGCTTTTCCACGGGATTAATTTTACAAACGTTTTAAGCACCGCATTTTATGCGAATCGGCGAATGAGAATATTCAAATGTGAACGAATATATAAGGTCAATATTGTTGGTATGTCTGTGAATCGTGTAACGAATTTTCTCCCCGATTTACAAAGCGCAGATTTTCTTTTTCAATTTCATCTTTTTTCGGCTTTTAAACCCATGAAAAACGATGACAAAAACCCTCGTTTCGTCTCCAAATATCAAATTCTTTGTATATACATTTCAAAAACTCAACGGTAGTGTGATAGCACTTTTGAGCTCTTCAGACTGAAATGATGGAATTTGTTTTGACATCCGTTCGGTTCAACACTCTTCATAAAAGCAACATGGAATTCGAGAGAAAGAAAAAGGGAGACAGAGAAAGAGAAAATAATAAAACTGAATACCATTCGGAAAAAATCGTCTGCATTCAATGCATTTTCTGTCGCACAGCAAAACTATTTCATATCGTATTTGAATTTTAGCAATAAAAACTCCCCCTCGAGGCGTGAGCATACAAAAGAATGCAAAAAAAACTTCTTCTACGTTGAAGTTTAATTACGGCTTTTGATGCTACAATGGTTCAATACATTTTACAAAGTGCATAATCTGACTTGAAAATGAACACAAAGTGATTGAAAAGTGAAAATCAATTTTCACCTATGAGAACGAAAACAAACATAAAGTGAACATTTTAACATGTTTTGAATGGTTTCAGTGAGAGAGGTTACTGATTGATGGCATTACCAAAACATCTTCAACATGATGAACGCTTCCCATGAGAACACACTCAAATGGAAGACATCGGAAAAGTAAGAAAAAGAAAGAGAAATAGAGAATGTTATCGTCAAAAACACGAGTGTGAAAATTGATTGAAATATTTGGCGGTTTTTATACACAAACAAAAATTTACCGCGATAATCGTTTATTGTGGGTCTTTTATAGAATGGTTTAAAATGTTTCACGTTCTTTGTTGAAAAATGATGAGCATGCATTTTTCGACATAGCTCCATGCATTCGGCTTTCATCGGGCTCTCGAAAAAGAAACAAATTAGAGGAGCATCTTATACAGATTTTAAATGAATCCAGTGATTTTATTACACAGCGTGCTGAGTGACATTACACTGTGCGCACGAACTCGCACGATAAATTCCCGACCCAAACTCATTAATTACATTATGTTCCAAAAAAATCTATTGCACTCTCATTTCATTCTATTTTTGGTCGAAAAATTGACGACGAATCGGAGTTTGGTTTCATTCCAAAATGACATAATTTAAAATTGTAGCGTTCTTAAAATTCTGTTCGCAGCCGTTCGCTGAGAAAAAAGCATTTCGAAATTAAAATTTGTTTTAAACATTCGACACCCATTCGAAACTCATAAAAGACAATTATTTCATGTAAATGAAATGTGAACATTCCATTTCAATCGCAGAGATACTCTTCAAAATATGCATATGCGCCGCAATAAAAGAAATATTATATGACATAAATTATGACACTTTCCCATTAAATTGAAATTAAAAACATCGTTTTTCTGCCGAAACTGGTGTGTTAAAGGGAAAAAAATGTTAGTTAAATAGTTAATATTTGTGCCCAAATATTGAAACGAATGCCCAACACGCGTGCTAGCTGCTATTTACCTTGAGTTATGATGTGTATATTTAAAAAACGGAAATTAAAATGACAATTTGTTTAGCTCCTTCATTGGAATTGAGCGTGTTCTCATTGTAAGTTTTTTTTGGTGTGGGTGGGCGCAGCGTCGATAAAACGTCGTCCAGTAATGAAAAAATATTACTAAAAAATACAGCAGTATAAAAGTTTCTGTGGAAACGAAAAAAGGGAATAGATACACACTTCGTTTTTTGAGCACGATATTTTCGATCTTGTTGCGATAACATTTTTTTGGGAGAAAACTATGCGAATGCCACCAACGATAAAACGAGCTCGAGAAGCCATAATTCAAAAATAAGCGACCCAAACTTTGTTCGTTATTGGAACAAGGTTACATGCACGATAAACTTCGAAACCATTTAATAAAAACTTCCAAATGCAAACGTTGTTTTTTTCGAATCATAATTCGACACGTAAAAAGGTAAAATACACTTGTGTCCCCCACATATTGGGCTTTGCATACTAAATCCGGCTGGGAAATTGAACTTCACCGCTATTTGTCTCATTCCATTGACTTTAATATCCGGGTGTATCGATTAAAATTTTTGTATAGATACTATAACCTGTCGTTTGTTTAGGACAGTATGAACGAAGCATGCAAAAAAAAATGTAAAATAAGGAAAGGCAAAATCTCGTATTTAACAAGTGAATACAATTGATTCAATAGAAACCTTTGTAAACAGAACAATAAGCCACTGCCGACTCATGACTCGGCGTCTGCTTACGTGAGCATTAATACAACGATACCATACTTATTTCTCTTCTCAGTTTGATTCGAAGTTTTGTAGACGGTTTTCCTTTTTGGAATGTATTTTATGTCTGTCTGCGGTTGATTTTGTAGCCGCTATGATTGGAAAACCACCGCATTTTCACTTTTCCAATCAGAAACCTTCCTGCTGATTCGAAAATCAATTGAAAATAACCATTCGAAAGGAAAGTACCGTGGAACATTTTCCATATGGTTGATTGGTTCCACTTCGAATATTTACTACTACAAAATTAACTATCCGAATGGGTTCATACCACTTTTTATGATACACAAAATTCTTTATGGCACTTTCATTGCCTATATAAAAAAAATTAAGATTTTTCTTAAACGACGGCATTTTTTATGGAAAGTTTAAAGAAAAAAAAATAATTTAATAGCAAATAACACTTGTTTCCCAAAGTAATTAAATCTTAAATATCTTTCAACATCTGCAACAACCATATAAATAAAACAAAAATTTTGCTGCCACATTAATCGCCAGCTTGCTCCGTCATCGGGCCCATTTCCTTTTGCCGACAAATTAAATGAAGTGCCAATCATCCGAATATTTTCGTTCAGTTTGTTTACACTCTGGAATTAACAAAAATAATATGCTTTCAAAACACGCAATCCCATATATGTATTGTAGTTTCAAATAGAACTTTTTTTTTGGTTTAATAAACACGCGCTATTTCGGATTGACATTTGTCATGTTCTGCGAGCATAACAATGAATGAGTTTTTATGGTCATAATGTGCGTTGCACAGAATAACTGATTAAAATCTTATGATGCGTGCGCCGCGTATGGATTTGGGTATCAATGTGAACGGAATAATTTCAAGTTTTTTTGGGCGCCATCGCAACAATTATTTGTGTACAACGAAATAGATTTAATAAAATATTCACACAAGTGCACAAACAAACATGACACCATGCCTCATGAACAGACTTTTTCCAAAACCACATTTTTTTTCTATCTAAATTGCACTGGGCACATAAACATTTTGTGCTGCAACTAATTATATGGTGGATTGCAACATAATTTGAATTAAATTGAAGCATGCCCAATGCGACTCGTAATATATGAGGCCTGAAAACCATCCAGTTCGTTGAAAGAATTGAAATTTTCGGGGAAACCATTCGAATTAAAAAGCATTTTTTTCTTTTTTTTTTCATTTTTATTTATATTAAACTACAGTTGATGAGAGAAACATGAATTTTCAAAAACTTTTATTTCGTGAAGGGAAAATTACAAAAATGTTCATCAAAACTCATGCGAAAACTTCTGGAGAAATTTGGTTCAAAAGAAACGACAAAAATCTACGTGACGAAGCGTAGATGGAACAAAAATCGTCTTGCCAAAAACATATCCGTTTGCTATCGCGTAGAATAAATGTTAAAAGCAGGAAGAAGCCAACACTAACTTCGAGCGTAAAAACAATGAGAAAATAGTCAATGAATATTTTTTATTTCAAACGGAATTTGGTGGAAAATTTATGGCCATAAATTTCGAGAGGGTTTTAATTGTGTGTCCTGCGAATTTAACGGGGTGTGCCACAATATCAATTTCGTTTTAATTATCTTCATCTCATTTAATGCTTAACAACGCATTCCAACCGGACGATATTTTGTTGAACAAATGTAATTTTCTCGATAAAATCTACAAAAATCCATTAGATGAAAAAAAAAAAACAGTGTTATTGACATTGATATGAAATGAGGCAATATGTTTCCGAAAAAAAAATGTTCGACACATTTGAATGTAAAATAGGCATATACCTGGAGCCATATTCCCGAATAATCAAAATGAATGGTGTTCACGTCTGTTGATAATTGTTTGACTCTATATTGGTATTCTAGCTGCACGACACGATGTGCGTTATGCGTCCAAAAATGTCATATGATTCGGCTATCGATCATTTCCGTCACATTTTCCATTCAACTCAGTAGCGCATCAAATGCATGAAAACATTGACAACAAAAAAAACTCAAACAATAGACAATAGAACCATCAAATGGTAAAATCAATCAAATCACTCGAGCCGAATCGGGACCCATACAAATCAATATTCCATGGAAGTGGGAGAAAGGCTGAAAAAATGTTGCAAATGTTGTTCGGTTTATTTTCCAGTATTTTGTATCTGTTTTAATTATGCGCCTATTTTTGTGAATAAATTAAATGTTCTTAACTTTATTGTTTATCGTTGTCCAGAGTCAATTGTGCTCATTATGTCGAATGCTATATTGATTACCTTTTTTGTATTCACAGATGTTCCGGCAAAAACCACTGTAGTTTTGTGTTCAGTGAAGATCATCCATTTTCGGTGCTGTGGCCCTATGGAATCGTTCATATTAAATATATTTGCATGGAGAGTAAGTACCATACCCAGTTATGCATAAATCAATCAGTCGAACCCAAACACTGTTCTGTAGAATATATATTGTGGTATATCGGATTATTCGGAAATGTTTCATCGGACCCAATTGGCTGCACACACATCGTTTTACGAAATTTTATGGTCTTTTCATCCGTTACCTATCGATGATTTGCCACTTTTAAGTACAAACCTATTAATTAATTATAGTTTCAAGTGATTGGTTTCAAACTCTTTTATGTTTGTTTAGTTTAAACGCGGTCGTTTTAAATAAATAAAATCGCCATTTTCAATGCTATTTAAAAATCTATTCGAACCGAATAGATGGCACGCGACGAAATGTAGAAAATACGGTAGTCTCACATTGTTGCAGCTGTTAGTATAACTTTGATAATTCCGAGCTGCACATAAAAAACCATCTACCGTACGTGTGTGTGCTTGTCTGTCTTGAGTTAAGCAATCAACCGTTGTCTTCTGTGTTGGTTGCATTTTTCGTCATGCTTCTCACCCATCACATTCGTAGCCACCCTTGTACGGAACACAAGTTAAAATGTTCATCCTAATAAATAGGATCTAATAGTTGTGCCAACCATTTGTCTGATATATAAATTGCGTCAACTAATCTTCGGTTTCGTATAAATTTAAACCTCTTTTCAGTTTTTTTTTTCCTGTTTTGACAAAGTAATAACAATGTTTCGGCTTCACACACACCTGGTGCAAATTTTATGTTTTATATGAGCCATTCTAATTCATAGTTTCATTGACTTTGTTCGGATATGGTTTGCGGTAAAACTGCTGAAATGAACATAAAATTTTCAGTACCAACCAACAAATTTTCTATGCAGACCAAAAATTTAAAATAAAAATAAAAAAACGGAAGAAAATTAGAGAACACGAGGGAGATAAAGCGGGAAAAAGTCAAGCCGAGAATGCATTTTAATTAGTTATCTAATGAAAAGTGTGTTCAAATAACAAGCAATTTCGACAAACACTCAATTTATTCATTAAAATGCTTGCCCAAAAATGCGCTGCATCGTTGAACCTTTGATCATGATTATAGTGCAGCTTTGATCACATTTAAAATTTTCGATTCAAAACCAAAACGGTCTGACAACGAAAATAGCAATTCCCTTGAAATATTAAAATTAAAACCATTAACGTGTGTTTATATTTAGGGAAAATACATGTCCATTTACTTAATTTATATCGTTTTCAAATCCCCACAAAAAAAAAGATCTCTTTTTTCGATAAAATCCCCACAGAAAAGTTTTTTTTTCGAAAAATGTTTTATTAAACACATCTTTAACAAGTCTATTTTCTAATTTTCAACGGTCATTCACATGTTTGGGTCGTAAAAATTGTGGCACGGGATATCGGCTTATCATATATCGACCAACTGATGCAGCAACAAAATGCCTATTCAACATATGTAGCATTTTTCCCTCGGTATTCATCTCTTGTTCGTCGCTTAGTTTGGTGCATGCGAATATCAAAATTTGTGTACAACAGAGATATGTTTAGATTCGAGTGGCTCTTGGTTAGTTACGGTCAAAGAGAACATGCAATATTGAACAGAATGTTTTTATCAATTGCAGTTCAATGAAACTAAAGCCAATTTTTTCCATCAATTGCATAAATCCTTATACAAGGATATACCGATTTTGATAAAATGGCAAAACTGCGCAACTTTTCCCATGCACTTTTGTATGTGTCATGTTCTTTTAAAACATTTGCATATGCACAATGCAAAATATGCTGACACGAATGAGATATTATTCGGTGTGCAAAGTTCTCATGTGGATAAAAAAAAATGTGAAACATGTGCAACGAAACTCGTAAATTCTCCGGAGAAAAAGTTCAAAAAGACCTGCAATCGAAGTTATTATTGATCCTATTTATAATGCACAAGTTTTCTTTTCTATTAAAATGAAATATATGCTCTAGCGATCCACGAAAAAAAAAAACGAGAACAGAAAATCGCGCGGAATTTCCCAGTTGGAATCGGAAGTTTCTTTTGTTCTTTTGCACCTTTGTTTCGTTCAATGCACGATGTAATCCCATTCCCGTATGAGCATAATCGATTCCCTTTTCTCTATGATAGAATTTGAATGCGACAGTTTAATAACCTCATTCCGATGCTGATATTCTTCATAATTTCCATGATATACTCGAGTTTGACAGGAACAATGCTCTTTTTATTTGTCTTTTTATTATGAAAACAGATCGTATTTTATGAGAATGAGCAAATGAATTAAAATAATATCGGTTAACGCCGTATGGAGTCGTGAATTTTGATGTCGATTTATGAATATTCATTTCTCACGCGATTGAAAGCATGAACCAGGTGTTTAAGAAATAGTTTGTTCCTGATTGTACACCGGAAAAAGTAGTTTCTCATTTTGTTTATTTACTTTTCTCGAAAAACAAACAGAGACTCTATTTTGGAACAGAAGAAGGCAAGTGTTTTGTACGAGAATAATAAGAGAAAAACACGGACAAAGTTTATTTAAGACTAAAAAAAGGATTTAAACAAACGAAGAACTATTAAATAGAAAATATTCAAAAGAAATAATACGAACGAAATATTCATAAAGTCGAAATTTTATTCCAAAAAAACGCAATCAAATGTATTAGATGACGTTCGTTAAACAGATCTCGTGAACGATAGCAATACTTCATAAGCGACCCATAAAACTATACGCTCCACTGATGTTAATTTATGATAACTTCAACGACAGCGAAAATATATGTTTTGTGAAAAACGAACATTTTATTAAATATTCACCCACTTTCGATTAAAAGGACATTTCATTTCGGCATGTGCAAAGTTGCAAAACTCCCAACATTCCGAAGTGTAAATGCATGAAAACTGTGTGTACCGCCGTCATCGTGTTCGAAACACCAGATGTGCAATATAAATTTAAGCGAAGTTAATCGCATTTCCGTTATGTCATTTATGAACTATTGGAAAGAAGAGGAAAAATTGTCTTAAGGCGGGATAAATCGACAGGGAAGTTCAAACTGTTAAAAGTGTGAAGTGTAGCACGTTTCCATTCAACGTAAAATGTATATGGAAAAAGCGACAGTAACAAAGAAAAACACACGTGTATTGAAATCACAACACATTCTCTTTTTTCTCATGACTTGACGATATCGCTAGAAACCTTATCGAGATTATAGCATTTTCTATATTGAAAAATATGACATAAATGTGAATGTACATGGCATTCTATCTAGAGATTATTATTAAAATGAGATCAAAAAATGGAAAAAAGTGAAATGTTTTCATACTCCGCTGTATTTTTTGTTATTAAGTTGCTCAAAATGGCAATCGATTGTTGTATTAAGATAAATGTGCAATAAAATGCGTCCTAGTGCCAGAGTTCCATCGTTTTGGAAATGAAAAAAGGCGAAACAACAAAAACAAAATTCATGTTGATATTTTTCCCACCGGAGTAATATCAATTTTTTCGTTGTTGCTGTGTTGCCGTCGTTGCTCCGGATCTGTTTGTGGATTTGTTTGAATAAGAGAAAAAAAGACTTGGTGATTCTATTCATGGCATATAACTGTTGTTTCTAAATGCATCCGTACGTGTGATGATTCAAATAGAGCGAGAGAGAGGGGGATAGAGAGCGGAAGAGGAGCTGAAGAGTGAGGAATAGATAGAGAGCGACAATTATCCTATGGTTTTTATTTATGCGTATATAGTGTAGTGGTGAATGGCCAATTCCGCATCGACATCAACTCGAGTCTTTTGTTGTTAAAATCCACACAGCCAGTCGCAATTGCCATTTTTATCGACAGATAAAGAGATGTAGAACGTGACGAAAGTGGAACAATGGAAGAAAAGAGGGAAATATGTACAATTCACGTGAATGTACATTTTTGCGCAAAAACTAGGACGATGCAAAAATTATGAAATTTTATCTCATTTCAGTTGTATCTCAAAATATGTGTATCCGTGCATTGTTCCGTTTTTGGTTATTATTTGCTTTTCACTTGGTGTTTCGGGGGTTGCGTCGTTTGTGTATATTCGGATTTTTGTCACATGTGCAACGACGAGCAGAGATATTTAAAAAGCCGTTTAAGCGGCACTTAGAGCTCTCTCTCTCTATCTCGGAAACGCTCAACTAACAACAAAAAAAAGCGAGAAACGAGCATTTTTCTACTCATCATCAAGTACCCAGCTGTACGATTCAACACATTTTTTTTTGTGTGCATTTAGGTCAATCGACAGCCGTTTTTAAAATGATGCATTCACCAAAGGCAGACGAGCAAAATCCACACATCATTGGGAGCGCATAAATTTGGAAAAGTGCATTTACTCACGCTCTCTTGCGTGTTTTAGTTTATTGGAGGGTATTATCTAGGTTTTATCCGAAAAACCATCGAAATCGTCTAGAAAATCTACACACACAAACTAAAGGGCAATTTAACAATCAGACTTTGTCTGTGACTTTGGTGCCAATGGTATAACATTAAAAACGAATTTTTTCGAATTCTTTTCGCACAGATTGATGATAATCGAACGTAACGCCTAACCATAAATGTGATTGATATCCGTTTGCAATATAAAATTATAATTTGCCAACACACACACCAAATACAAACACCCAGAATATTCGATTTGAATTCGTATGCCAATTGCGATGCGTGCCAACCTAATCTCGATTCCAATTTCATCGATTTAATATATATATGGATGTGAGAATTGCTTTTCAATTGCCAACAATAATAAAATGTCTTACATCCGTAAGATGAACTTTTCCGCACTGTGATCCACGACATGAAAGAAAATTAAATCTGACATTTAGTTTTAGATAAAAATAATTTTCGAAGCACTTTTCATACAAAAACTACTAAAGATGGGAATTTTTGTATCGAAGCCATGCCTATATGATATCGTAATCATGTGAAAATTTGCAGAGGTTATTTTTTTCACAAAAAGTTAACATTCTGAAAGTTTGAAGAAATTTCAATGCATATTAAGGGTACTTCCCATACAAAATTTCGTTTTAGAGCGAAAAATCCAAAATATTGTTCGGGAGGTGCCCCTAATATTCGTTGAAATGTCTTCAAACTCTCGGAATAGTATTTATGTGTGATAAAAATAACCTGTGCAAAGTTTCAGCTCATTACGATATCATACACCCATGGCTTCCATACAAAAATCCAAATTTTTTGAATTTTTTGTATGAAAAGTGTTTCGAAAGTTGATTGTATCGCAAAACTAACGTCATATTCGGTTTTCTCGTACCCAAAAACCCCCCAATACACATTTTTGAGTGTTTAAGAATACATTAAA